GTCTGTGAGCGGAGGCCCAGGGAGCACTTCGACCCCACAGGCATTAGAGGCTGGGGGGGAGTCTTCCATGATCGTATCAATGACGAAGTTAAAGAGGAAAGGTGAAAGAGGACAACCCTGTCGGACACCACTTGATGTGGTGAACTCAGGAGAGAGCTTCCCGTAGACCTTTACACGGCTCTTCGTCCCACATAGTACCAATAAGCTTTGTCAAGTGGGTCACCAGGGAAGTTCCGCCTTCTTTGAAGAGGGCTGGATACAGACCCTCCGGTCCTGGTGCCTTCTCACGTTTCAGTACGGCTACTTCATACCTTATTTCTTCTTCCGAAGGGCGATCAAGGTTTACATGCTATGTGACCTCCGCTCCAGCAACCGGAGAATTTCTCTCTTCCTTTTCAAGTTCGTCAGTCTAGTGGGATGATACGGCAGTAAAAGATTCAGTAGCACACGGCACCATGTCGACGAAACATGCTGAATCGCGGCCATCTATAGAAGGAGACTAATTTATGGGGCAAATGACGGGTATCGAAGGATGCGACGAAGCACCCTTGCAAAAGCCCGTGTGATGAAACTCCAGGGTGCCAACATGACAAGTGATGGTTCAACGACCCTAAATTACTCGATAGTACGATCAATAGTCTTCAGAAGACACAAGCCTGGACTACCAGAAAGAGTGTAAGGATTGAAAATGACACCGAATCCTACCTTTTTGGCTGTGATAATCCGTCCGACCCGAATTTCTAGCCGGTTAGGGTCTACGGTATCCCCGGTGGTTTGTTGGCTGGTTGCATCGCCTGAATGATGAGAGACGAAGAATGTGACATATGGAAACATCTTTACAAGTGCAGGTGTACAGGAATGTACACCCTATGGGCTGACGCACAAATGGTCCTGCAATAGTCTAACGAAAGTTGAAAGCACAGGGCAAAAAATATCGTCTACATCGGCATAACATTAACCATTTAGATGCATTCGTCAAAGTGCAGTTCCACAGAAGAATCACCTAAGCCGTCACCGACAGAGATTTAATTCCAATAATCTTTCTGAACAGTTGCATTATTGTCAATTTTTGATCATCAACAATGAGGTCAAAGGTTCAGCTCGCATTAATGAAAACGCTTCCTCGAGAAAGAATGTCATCATTGGAGGTGAGGTGAGTGGCAGGGCAGCTTGGAAACATCAATGATCAGGTGGAAGTAAAAACTACATTATATGGGGTCATAGATAGGACGTTTAGGTGTTCGAAACAGAAGGAAAGAACCGCAAGGTATGTCACATTTAAGGCGGTTCGATACCGATTGAAGGGTGTTCGCACAAACGTGAACCGACATGACCCATCATACAAATGCCACATTGTCGCCCAAAATGCACAACTTCGGCGAGCAGCCTGGATGGGGGGTGAATGGAGGATGGGTGTTCCGTGGAACTGTTCGTGTCACTTACTCAAGAAGTCTGTGGCTGGCCACGGTCCGCGAACAGAACTGCATTTACATCAAAAACAGAAGCAGATGCACTGAGTCCTGTAGTTGGGCAGTCCGTTTATTTGACCGGAAGTGTGTTCGTGCGGCTTCCAGGACACCAATCTGGTGCTACAAAGCTGGTGGTCCATAGGTAAGGGTTTAGGCCTGCTTCGAATCTGAATCCTTCACCGGGAAAACTGCGAGGGAGGAGTGAGGTCTCGTTCGTCGAATAAAACAGTTGGGACAGCTCAGCGGTTGAACCGGGAGGATTGTGGTTCGCAACCAGCATTGGATATTCGGTTGCTCCTATGTAGGCCTGAGAAATCTTGCAGCATTTGAGTCCTTGAGCATTTTAGGGTTGTATCGCAGCTATGCACTGAAAAAGGGCAACAGTTACCACCTACCTACGCCGGATTGCGGAAGAGTTCACATATCAAGTGTCATCAGGTTCATTTTGATCGCGTCTGAACCAATCGAACCAGGCTTTAGTGAGTAGATCCAGGCCAAAAGCCAGAGATGGTCTCGAAGCCAGAAATTTCAACGGCAACAGCCTCGCGCCCCTACTTCTGAGTTATCTTGGCATTTTGCTTCGAACTGAGAATTACACACCGGTGAATAATGGGTCGGATCTCATGCTGGTTACAACGGCAACGACTGCGACACATTTCATACCAGCAGACAAGTGTCTTCGGGTTGCCTAAAAGCCTCACCACCTCAGGAATTCTAGCTTCACAGGATTCTGTGCAGTCGAACGGAGGTGTGCTCTTGGTCTCAGAGCACCGCTGTGATATTGGAAATTGTGTGAATAACGGCAGATCCAAACCAACATTTTATGATCATTGTTACAGGAGACCAAGCAAACGACTTCCTCAAAAAATATTATAAAGGCCATATACTGCTACAGAGAAATGCAAAGCCAATGTTTTGTTAAATCTGAGTTGCTTACCTTTGGCTGTAGAATGGCCATTGCACACAGCGTCACCATCTCCAGAGTTTGTTCCTTTTTTACTTTTTGTCTTTCCTTTCCCTGTGGTTTGTTTTACGGGTTGAGGGAATGCAGCATCCAGTAGCTGCATTAACTGAGGCCAAGGAGGAAGTGCCTGTAATAGTCGACTAGCAACACTCTCCGGATTTGCGGGAGACAGAGCAAGCTCAGCTGCTGGCTTCAAATCTCCAGGGTGCAGGATTTCTTGTGCGAAAGCTGTCTGGAGTGCGACCCAACGGGACGTACAATCAACCGCTCCATCTGGAGAGCATATGTGGAGTGGGCCACCGTTTTTCTCCGAACGTGGAATAATGAGAGGAGCTAAATTAGGAAAGAACAGACACGACGGGTTGATATGCCAAGCACAAAACGAAGCGGGGAATGAAACCGCCCAAATCATGTGGAACCCTCACCTGCAACGCTTACATCTGGAAGTATAACATAACGATATATCTCTAGCACCGGGTTGACTGCTACATTACCGGGTTGACAAAAGGCACGCTTGAGACGACGCTTCAAACCCTGGAGAACTGTCTTTTCCGCACCCGGTGCGAGTGGTTCAACCAGCGGCAGACTGCAGTCTTCTGCCAAGATAGCCAATGCTTGAGCGGCAGCAGGGCATTCTGTTCGAGAGGCAGGTGGACAGGAATGCATTGGTCGGACGACGGTTACCGAGGTCCCAACAGACCCGGTGCTATCAACTTGCAAACTCGAGAGCAGAGGGTGACTAAGGTGAACAGGTGCTTGTTGAGAAGTAAGCTTGGATAGGAACTGAAACAAAGAAAACCAGTGAGTTACTAGATGACATGGCACAGAAACCGAAGTAAAATGCTGTCAGTTAGACTGACGCAATGGTCACTCACTCCTTTTTCAAACAAATGCCTTTTCCGAACTCGATCCGCACTAGCCAGCCGAACATGAGCTCGAAGATAGACAGTATCAACCAGATCGGTACACGGCATCAACAGCTGACCTAGAGCACACCGAGCACTACCGCCATCGGCCGATGGATCGTTTGTAGACGTGTCGTTTTCCTGCTGCTCGGCTACGGAAGTGGGGCAGTCGCTCGCAGCTGCACAGTCTGATTCTGGAACTAGGCTGACCAGGCGGTAAAACTCCAGCATGTAATCACTGGATAGAGGGGAAGGGAGAGCATGAATATCGCATGGTTAACCGGTGCGTATCGCGAATCGGTCCACATCGGTTTCTTGAGTAAGAAACGAGAATCGCTTACCCAGAGTACTGGAAGTCTGTGCCCAACAAACAAGTGAACTGTTCGCGGCGACCACCCAGAGCGATGAACAGTGCAGAGAGTACGGCGCGGCAGAACTCACCACGCGGGACGACCAAATCCCAGGAGCACGAACCACGTAGATGTGCAGCCACATTATTGACGAGGACAACGATCTGGTGGGCCAAAGCGATAATATCATCAGTCGTAGGATGAGTTTTACAACCAAACTATTGAAAGGCGATGTGAACAGGGCTCCAAGTCGTGAGAGGGGTTAGTCCTAAGTGACGGATACAGAGATCGTATCCTGTCCCAAAGGCCTTAAAATCCACCAAAGTACATTTTCCCTTTGACTAGATTAGGAGTATTAGAATCAGGTCCGAAAACATTCAGCTAATTCACAAAAAGCCACCCACACTTCATTGTAGGGTCCCGAAGAGCGTGTACTAACCGTGATATATTCATATAGGAGAAAAGCCAAACGGGTAGGTTAGGCCATGACGAAAGTCGCTGAAAGATAGGCGCTTTCGAAAATTGATGAAACTAACTGTTCAGGCGTCGTAGCACTGGAACCCCAGGAAGTACATACACTGTCACAATCCCCTAATCGTAAAAAATCGTTTAGCTGTAGCACCCTTTCGGTGTCTAACTGCCATGCCACCCGGAGATTGCACGAGGGCTGGGATACTGTCAGGTTGTCCAAGCCTAGGCAGGGGAATTCGATAGGCATAGGCCGGGTTTGAGCCACGGACCTTCCGGTCAGTAAATTCATGCTCTAACCACTTGGGCCATCTCACCCATATGAGAACTGCATGAAGTCCTTATGAAAAAATCCACCTTCGGATTAAACGTCAGTAAAACCTTATAAGGTGTACACTGGTTTACTCCTCAGTTGAGCGAAATCGAATTCTTACATAACCATTATCGGTTGTCAGCACTGAAAAGAATGAACCCCTTTCATGAAACCACAAACAATATAGGAACACAGATGCGCAACAGATTCATTACTCACATGGACACCGTCAAACTGAGATAGGCGGGCCAGCTTGCGTAGAGGGATGCTGTGGCCCAAGTGCGGAAGCCCGGTTGGGGTAACACTCCATAAACAACGCAGGCGATCCACACGCCGTACACACGTGGTCAGCTGATCACCGGCATCCTAAGGGTGAAGAAAGAGGAGCGTAAACACGCATGGTCATAACTGGTGATGCGTGGTTCTTAGGTGGAGCTTAAGAAAATCAATCAGCACACAGCGTACCTACTGAAGAGGGTAAGTAAAATACCAGTAGCTCGTCATAAGGTCATGAAGTGTTAAATGTTGTGCAAAAGGGACATTATACCAACAGGAGCAACATTAACCGAAGATGAGGCTTGAAGGAAAGGCTAGTCGGGCAAAAGCTTCAAAACGGAAGGCATGTGAACAGGTAAATATAACATACAGGGAACTCCTCACGTAGCGCGCTGAGTAGACTACTTCTATCCCCAATCGGCGCCAACTGTTCCTCGAGAGTTGACAATTTCTCTGGTATTCCCGAAGACGAACCATTTGTCGGTTCATTGGAATCGACTGACAAATTCTCAACACCTACAAGTGATGGATGAAAATCAAAGCGGGAGTGGGATGAAGACTGATGAATCTTAAGTTTCAAGTTCTGGAACAAAACGCCAGGCAGATGAAAGAGGGCATGAAGTTCGCTGCTTGGCACGCAGTATGAGGAAAATCGCATGGACGCGTCGCTGTTGTCGCTGTATGTAGGGATACTCTTGTTAAGAAACTAGCCTACACCAATAAATGGTTCGAAAGTTTTCAGCACCAAGGCGACACATGCCAACTCATCTATACGTTGGTGGTGGTGCAAAACCCTCCGCTAAGTGAGGCATGAGGAATTAATCAAACTGAAAATTGCTTTCATCAGGACAGACAAACACAGTAACATGAACTGTATGTTAAATCACCTGACTACAACTATACACATCACATGATGACAGCAGTTTTCACCTGTTAGAGGAAGTACAGTCGCTACGAAACCAGTAAAATAAACTCGACTTCTCGACCATCCCTATTTACGAGGCCTAAAAAACTTGATGAGATCACAATTCATTGTGAGGTGACCAACCAAGCTATGACAGTTTGATTCAGCCAACAAACGCCGTGTGCTGAGGCTATTCGGGGGCGACAATCAGTCTCTGCAGAACGCGACTCAGTGTTCTTTTCAGTGACTGTTTCGGTCACACAATCGTCCTGAAAACCCACCCTTGTGCGGAATGCACGGTGGCATGGGTCAAACAGATGCCGATGGTAAAGAAAACCCAATGATTCGATGATGTCATCAGGCAAATCATCAAATAATAAGTGTCCGATATGAGGTATGGATCTGCTGGTCAACAGTGGCTGGACTATTTGACACTTGTGTATTATCGGTAAACCACAGACGGTGACGTTGCAGCCGATACTGTGCACCGCTGATGGGCTCTACCAGGTATCGGTGGGTCAGAGGAATCGCGTCAGCAGAAGAGAAACGTTAAAGCGATAATGATGTGGATAGGAAGCCCTCCGTATGAATATAGTACGCTACTCATTTGCACACCAATTTAGTTTTGATGGGAGACTCACTTGGAACTCAGCTGAATCTCTTGTTTACGATATTTTCAAGCAACTGAATCTGTTGCAGCAGGCCGCCTCATGTTTCAGTTGTCACGATATTCGAGATATCGCGATACATTGTGTAGACATAATGCACTACTCATAAGGTTGCTGGAAACTTCGGCAGTCTAAAATAGGCGGTTACCTTCTTCAGGCTCATCAAGTAGGCGCGGTCCCCGAGTTTCGGCCAACCTTATGTTCTACTTGAACCCAAACTGGATAGATTTTGACCAATAAACTCATGCGATCAATTTGATCAATTTGATCTTCACGGGAGAGTCATCTCGAACCCAGTTGAATCCCTCGTTTATCAAGTGGCCTGGTGTAGCACATTCAGTTGCTTAGAAAAATCATGAAAGAGAGATGCAGCTGGGTTCCATCAACACCAAATCGGTATGCAAACGAGTGCATTTCGCTAAGTCCTCGCTGTTATATTCCACCCAAAGTTATATTTGTGTTGAACATAAGACCGCCTGTACGTAACCAAAAGCCGGTCTCTCCACACTGGTCTTCTGGTGTGCAACCTACATGTTACCGTGGTACCATAAACCACGATGACCACTAATAAATTTTAAGAAATCGTCCAGCTGTAATACCACTTGGGTGCCTAGTTGCCATGCCACCCGAAGGAAGCACGAGGGCCGGGATACTGCCAGGTTACCCGAGCCTAGATAGGGAATTTTGAGATGCAGAGGTCAGGTTCGAACCATAGACCTTCTGGTCGCGCTCTAACCACGGAGCCATCTCGCCCCTTAAACCATTTGCTTCCTCGAAAATGGTACGATAAAAATAAGTGACACTATCTGCCCTCAAACGCAACAGGGCACCGGACATGACAACCCAAAGACCGATGAATCCACAGCAAGTGAATGAAAACAATGCACCAAGTAAATACACACCACAAATGAACTGTACAGAGAGACATGCAACCAGAAACACACCACAATAAGCAAACGGCTGTGAATTCAGCCCCCTCCCACCCTGGGAGAAAGTGGCAGCTGATTAAACAGTCAACTACTTACCCGAACTGATAAACGGCAAATAGGTTGTTAACAGTCTCCAGATGGTGTCTCGTAGAGTAGCAAACCAACCAGGAGCTGTAAAAATGCAACGCAGATGCGAGAATATCAGCCGGGGTTATGAGGACCAAACTTACCATTGCTAAGACCATTCGCCTCGGATGAGGGGTAGGCCTGTTCCACCAGACGAGCCATCTCCGGGGTGTTAAAATCAGCCCGGATTACGTCCATGCGGGAATTTAGGCACTTCACCACAGCCTGTTTCAAAGCATCAGAATCCACGTGGCCAGAGAGGTAATCCGCTTCAAGGCTACTGTAGTCATGGTAGGGTCCGCTGTGCCCGGGGATAAGCAGTCCTGTGCGTGAGA